CCGGAGAGAAAAGGCCTCGTACTATATAAGGGTCTGGTTTTTACTTTTAATACCCAGGAACTCCCCCTCTCATTCCCGATGTGGGACACCGGGACGTTCAAATTTCTATCTTTACTAAGGTTAGAGTAATGTTCCACACTACATATGAGTGTCGCTCGTCTTTTTGTCTCCCAAAAACTAATATAAAACATTTCATTGTTGTATTCAACCCAAATAAGAAAAACAAATTAGAACATCACACAAACTTGCCTAAGGACCACAAGCATAATTTTTTATATCCTTCAATCTTATTTGAAGAAATAATTTCCTAATGGCTTCATACTGAGTAAAGATATATAAATATTATATATTATATATTATATATATATGTGAAGTCCACTCTTCATTGTAAGTAAGAGAATAATATGTTGTAAATTTTTTTAAGCGTTTATATTTGAACCTACTAATTTTTCCTTTGGGTTATGTCGATAATTTTTTAAGGGTCCAGCTTGTCTCCCAGTTGGAGGTTAAGATTGGGACCGTCAGTTTGCATTATGGACTCACTTTTAGGCCTCGTTCCGATAATCTGAATCGTTTACATTTTAGAGTCATTTGAGTATATTATTCTTGTAAAAAATTAAAGTCGATCGAATAACGATAATTACGTGTTCGAATCAATTTTGTATAAAAAAATAAGATGATGAAAGAATAAATGATTCATAAGAAACTGATTCGAACATGTAATTGCCGTTATCCAATCGATTTATTTTTTTTATAGGGATTAATGTATTCAACGAATCTTAAAATATGAACGGTTAAATTTATCGAAACGAAACCTAAAAGTGAGTCCACAAAGATAATTGCACGGTCCAGTGTAATCTCCAGTTGGTAGGAATGACAACAAGGCGGGCGGGGCGGGATCACCCTCCCCGTCCCTGATCCCCGATGGCCAAAACTTCCCCGTTCCCGGCCCCGGCCCCGATCCGCGACGGGGAACCAATCACAGTCCCCATCCCGTCCCCAACGAGGATCGGGTTTCCCCGACCCCGAAATTCCCCGATCCTCTCAACAGATCAAAAACAACAGACCAACAGATCAAAAAAAAAAAAGATGAAGCTCATCATCAACAACAGAGATCAAAACAAAAAAATTACAGATCATCATCAACAGATCAAAAAAAAAAATACAGATCATCATCAACAGATCAAAAAATCAAACAGATAAAAAAGAATAACAGATCTTACAAGATCGACGCTGGAGATCGGCGGATGAGGACAGCGGTGGGAGATTTGGCGAAGGAAGATCGGCGGAAGAGGAGGATATTCTGCGGAGGAGGGCAGCGGTGGAGATCGGCAAAGGAGAATCGGCGGATGAGGACGGCGGTGGAGATTGACGTTGTCTGCACTCCATAGCGGCTCTCTTCTCTCTCTCTCTCCCTCCTCCATATTTTTCTTACGACACGAAGCTCTCTCTCATCGCCAAAAATGGCGATCAAAACACTGAGTGAGGGGCTAAAATCGGTGAGATATAAGAGAGAGAGAGAGTGAGAGAGAGAGAAGAACGAGAGGCTACTGTGAGAGTGAGAGTGAGAGAGTTGAGTGAGAGAAAAGAACGAGAGTGAGAGTGAGAGTGAGAGTGAGAGTGAGAGTGAGACCAGTGACGCACGGGTTTAGGGCTTGGTTTATTATACATATATAAGGGATATAAAAGTAATTTTATTTCGGGAAAATTCAGGGCCGGGGCTTGAACACTGATCAGCGTCCCCGGCCCGAAATAGATCAGGGATTGATTTTCAAATACCGTCTTCTCCCCGTCAGGGGTATTTTTCGGCGAAAAACTGCTCAAATCGGGGTCGGGATAGGGGATCCCCGTCGGGCCGGTTTCAAATTACCATCTCTACCAGTTGGAGATAAACTAGACCCATTTTTAACCCCACCGTGGGAAATGTGAAAGAGACAATTTTGTTGATTATCAAAGGTACAAACTCTGAAGTGATTTCTTAAATTCTCTCACTCACTCATGATGAGAGTATGAATCGCAAAATTATTAGATAAGAATAATATAAAAAAATAGAAATAGAAATATAAATTAAATAAGTTATTTTTTACATCTTAACTTAATAAAAGTGAGTTGTTATTAAGTGAGTTGACATGTTTTACTGTGATTAATTTAAAACAATATGCAAATAATGCCACTTGATTTTCGTAAGGAAAGTGAGTCTACAATTGGAAATTTTTATTCAACACGAAAAAGAAAACTCTGTTAGACCTTTCACATTCTCATCTCATAAATACCACATCACCTCCATTGCATTATTCAAAAAACCCATAAGGTATAAAGTCAAATTAATCCCAAAAAAAAACATATAAAAAATATCAGGAAAAATCTCATCACATCTTCCGTATCTATATCTTTACCTTTCGTTTTTTCTACGGTTAAATCTTCCATTGTTGTTGCTAAGTTCCTGTACAGTAATGGATAGAAGGTTAATTGAAGCTGCCCAGATGGGTAATGTTGACCTTTTGTTCAATTTGATCAAATATGATCCCCTAATTCTACACTCTGTTTCATTAGCAGAGGAAGAGACTCCATTACACATTGCTTCCATGGCTGGCCACCTCGATTTTGTACAACAAATACTAAAATTGAGGCCAGAATTCGCCACGGAGCTCAACCAAGACGGTTTTAGTCCCCTCCATATTGCCTCGGCAAATGGGTATCTAGAGATTGTTAAAGAGCTCTTGAGAGTGGATCGTGATATGTGTGCGGTGAGGGGAAGAGAGAAGAGGATACCCCTCCACTACGCGGTGATCAAGGGTAGAATTCATGTTATGAAGGAATTGCTCGCTGCTAGCCCGGATTCTGTTGAACACGTCACGGTTCGGGGAGAGACTGCCCTTCACCTTGCAGTCAAGAAGAATCAAATTGAAGGGTTGAGAGTGTTGGTGGAACATATCAAGGAATTCAAGAAAGAGGGTGTTTTGAATATGAAGGATGAACATGGCAACACCATCTTGCACCTAGCTATCTCGGGAAAACAGTACGAGGCAAGTCTTTCCCTTTTACCCTTTTGTGTCCATAAATTTTTTAATACAAATATTAAACTTGAATGATGTGATAATAATAGTCACCTTGACGAGTCTTTTTTTATTTGAAATGATATTTTGATTAGAGTTTCTTTATAATTTTTTTTATTTGTATATTATTGCTCTTTTAATTTTGAGATAAATTATGAGCAGGTTGTCGACTTATTACTTGGTGAACTTTCCGTTACTAGGGCAGTGATGGAAGTGAATTCCTTAAACAAGAATAGCCTCACGGCTCTTGATGTTTTACTAATTTTCCAAAGTGAAGCGGGCGATAGAGAGATTGAAGATGTTCTTGTGCAAGCTGGTGCTAAGAGAGCTAGAGACTTGCACACATCGGCACTAGCGTTAACTAGCCAAAATCAGGGTGTTACAACTAACCCATCAAATGGCCCGTTAATGCCAATTGAACGGACTCGATCTCCAGCTAGACAGTTGCTAGAGTATTTCAAATACAACAAGATTAGAGATTCGCCGAGCGAGGCACGAAACGCCATGCTTGTGATAGCTATACTTATTGCCACCGCAACATATCAAGCCGTGCTTAGCCCTCCAGGTGGTGTTTGGCAAGACGATTCTCTGTCCAGTAACAACAATGGGACAGATACTACCGAACCACATAGTGCTGGAAAAGCAGTCTTGGGTTCGAAGAATATGGTGTCGTTTGGCTTATTTATCTTTTTCAACTCAGTAGGGTTCTTCACCTCTATCAACATGATCTATGTTCTCACAAGTGGATTCCCTTTGCAATTGGAGTTGCAAGTTTCAATGTGTGCCCTCATAATAACATATGACACTTCTATGACTTTCATGACAGCTAATAATGCCTTGTCTGTGTTATTTACTGTTGTTTCCATAGCCTTGCCATTCGTGATACATATTGCAACCATGGTGGCAAGGAACTACCTCAAATGGCCAAGAGTTGCATTGCAATGTACAAGCCTACAAAGTGCTTGAATTAGAGGCATGTTGTTCTACTTCTTTTCTCTTTGTTTTTATGAAATTAAGTGTTTGTGAGTATTCCTCGCTTGTTATTTTCATAGGCCTGGAAGCTTATTTGGTGAACATCTATAATAAATAAACAATTGAAGCAAATAAGATAAATTTCTCTATTATCATTCCAAGTTTTTTTTTTGTTTCAAACCATATGCCAACAATAGTTTCAAAAACAAAAATGCAACCAAGCTACAAAAATTATTTTGAAAAATAATAAAATAAACTGTGGAGCAGATTTATTGAGTGTGGTCCACATCACACTAAATTTAAATTTATATCATACAATTCAATTATAGATTTGACTTTTTATTGCTTGATCAAACTTGACATACCCAACTACTTTGTCCAAAGTCAAACTAAAAACGTGCAGGTCACATAAGGGGGTTAGTCAAACACTTATTCAATTTCTTGTTATTCATCCTTTTTAATAAGTTTTTTCTTTTTTTAATTTATTTTTTACAAATCTAACACCGTCAAACTAACTTATTAGACAAGGTAACCAACCAAACCTTGACATTCATGGGATATTATTCCATTTGAACCAAGTATTTTTTATTTATTTATCTTGTGACAAAGATAATGCACTCATTTGGTGTAACAAATTTTGGGACAAAAAGACTATTTTAGTCACAAAATAATAAAATAGATTAAAAATCAATAAAATAAAATGTCATATTCAAATTATAATTATTTTATTTTTTTTCTCACAAAAATTTTTTTAAAAAAAATTAAAAACATATCTTAAACAAAATTTTTTAACTCAAACTAAAATAACTAAAAAATTAACACATATCCCAAACCAACCTATTGATAGAGAGATAAGCAAGAGTTCTATCTATTAAAGTCCAGGTTTTCAATTATGCGGAAAAATATGCAATCAAAAGTCAAAGACTATAGCTCAAATTGTTTGACCATGATGTTGTTTAAAAAAAAAAAAAAAAAAAATAAAATAAAATAAAAAGAAGAAGAAGAAGTGACCTCAACTAAAAAGAGAAACCAAAATGTTGTTGACTGGATTCACACCTATCCAAATGTGCATTCTGTTTGGAACTTTGATTTTTTAGTTAAAAAAAATCATTAACAAATTATCAAATCACATTATTTTTTTATATTTTTTTTATATCGTTCTATAAAATAAAAAATAATAATTAAAATAGTCTATTTCTAATGAGATTTCACATCCACCAGCCAGTGAAAGTGAAAGTGAAAAAGAAATTAAAATAAATTTCTGGTGGACTAGAAAACTAAATTATGTACATTTAGAAATTTAAAAAAATTACTTAAAATATTAAAAGAAATTTACTAAATAAAATAATATAAAATAAATAAATAACTCAATTTTCAGAAAAATAATCAAAACCAATAAGTGATTGTTTTCTAATTAGCTAACCGCCTATAGGGGTGGAACTATTTTTCATTACTTTATTGTTTAGGGAGTACCACATCAATAATATCATATGATATTAAAAACTACCCAATAATTTATGTAGTATTATAGGTAGGAAAACATAATCGACCTCAATGCTAGCAACACAAACTAAGTTTAATTCTGTTCACGCATACACATTTTTTTTTTTTTTGGTAAAGCAGTGAACTCATAAAATTAGAGCAGCTAAGGTTCGAGGGTAAAACCAC